CCCCACCGTTCCCGCCCCCGCCGCCATTCGTGCCCTTTACCAACGCAGACGTCGAGGACCAGATTGGGCTGCTCAAGCCGTACTACCAAAACCGCTTCGCGATTCGCATGGCGGCGACACAGCCGATTGCGGTGGGCGGTGGGATGCCGTCACTCCCTGGACCATCCATGGGGATGGGGATGGGCTTTGGTGGTATTCCCCCCTTGCCTGGGCCGACGCTTCTTCCGCAGCCACCTCCCCCGCCTGGTCCGGGAGGCTTGCCACCGACGAATGTACCTGGGTACGCCGGTGGGAGCACGGCGCCAGCACCGCTGCCGACAATTTCGATGGTCCCGCCGCCAGACATGGTCCTGCTAGACGACAGCCCAAACCCGGCGCAGATGAAGATCACTCCGACCGGAGGCATCAACAAGCCAGGCGCGTCAACGACGACGACGAAGAAGAAGGCTGCTGCTGCTGCTGCTGCGGCCAAGTCTGCTGGAGACGCAGGCAGCGTTGTTGGTGGGATGGGCGTGGGTGCTGGAGGCGTGCCTATGTCTATCCCTGGGCCTGGTGTACCGGGTACGCCGACAGTACCTGGCATGGCGTCAGGGGGCGTGGTGTTCTCTGCGATGGGTCCTGGTGTACAGCTGCCCACAGCTGGGCCAATGGCAGCGGCACCAAAGAAGAAGAAGGCGACTACGGGTATTGGGTCGGGAAATGGGAAGAAGAAACAGCCGGCAGGGCTACCGCCTGTTGTTATTGCCAGTGCTTAGGTAGGTATAGGTTTGGTGTGGATGGGATAAGGGGTATGGAAGAGATGAGGCGGTCGAGCAGATGTTTTTTACTGTATCTATTACTTTCGTCGCATCGCATCGCATCGCATCGTTGTTCAGGAATTCAACAAACGTGTACATTTTTCTGCGGAAGCGGATAGCTGTTAGAGAACTACGGGCGTCTAATACTTGGAATATCGCGATTGCGACCCTTCATTCGACGTCTAATCGACACCTCCGAAGTGCATGTAATAATGGCAATTCCACAGGCCACGGGGCACTGCTTCTGAGCCTCTAACTCTATCAGCTGTGCTTTCATTATTTCTGCCGAAGACCAACGACTAAACTTGTTAAAAAACAGTCTGCTACCCCGAAATCTAGTCCCCGCGAATCATGTCAAACACGTTTGGCCAGGGGCTTTGCAAGCCACGACGCGGGAGACTTTCTTCCACATTCGATGGCCTTGACAGCTACGCGCCAGAGTGGTAGTTGGTAAGGCTGCAGAACGGGCGAAAAAGAGGTCCTGCCAATTTCTTTACCTTAGTCCTTCGTTCGACAATTGCTTTATTTTTGTCCGCCCACCCACCTGGCTCTTCACCCATAGTGTCTTCCTTGTTTTTTTGGAGTTCTTCTCGGACCCTTCAAATGGAGTTTGAGTCCCTCGACTTGTCGGGAACGCTCGATAGTTTGGATGTCGCTTTGCTAAGCTTTGTCCCCGATTCCTGCGGGCGGCTTCTCTCAGCCTCCTGTTTTTTCACGCCTTCTCATCTTTGTGTTCCAGGAATTTTAAGCGCGCTTCACGAGCGACGCCCAAAAATTCTCCTCAAACCTGGATATTTGCCTTCTCGATGTCTTTGGGAATTCGATGTCTCATTGATCTCTTTCATCTCGGGCGTCTGTTCGGCTACACAAAGAAATATATATGTGCTAGTACTAGTGCACCTATCGTTCTTGCGAACTTTATTTTAGCTCCGCTGAATTTTCGTTCTACTGTGTAGTAAGTACTTACTCAGAAATTTTGAGTCTACAACTTCGCCAACCCAATCCTTCATTCCACTAGTGCGATACCCCGTCCCGTTTACTCCGTCGGCAATGCTTCTGCTCCTTCCAGCGCCTTCCATTGGCAGTGCCACAGGTATGCGTGGTCGTGGCGATGACGCGACGCACCGGATTGAACCTGGGTAGTCTCGGCGATCCATCCTCTTACGGAAGCTCATCCGTATTAGGTTGACCTACCGTGAGAGTCTGGGAACATTCCAACGGGTTCAACGGGAGTGTGCGTTCGTGGATTTCTCGACGCTTAGGTAAGCTTTTTGGGCCTCTCATCGCGCGAAGACAGGGGCACATCCTCTTCACTCACATCGATATCTCTCTTTCCACACTCTATTCACCTTCTGCGCTGACCCGGACGTGCCCATACACACACCCCTTGACCTCAAGAACAGCCGCAACCTAGAGAAACACGTCAATGTGGGCGCTGGGATGTTAGAGATGGGCGAGAGGTGGGGGAATCCCAGCATTGAAGCATATACCGCGCTGTCATGTCTGGTGCGAGCTCTTTCAAGTCGTATTGTCGCTGCAGGTGGTTCAGGGAGGTTGTGAGTGCTCAACTGGGTAAGTAGACGAAATTACTATCCACTCGTTACCGGACTAACTCATATATAAGCAGAGATGATGCCCTGAAAAATGCGACAGGCGATGTGTTCCAACCCTGCTACAATCTATTTAAGTCTGTCAACAGCCGCTCGATTCCACCTGGAGGACCGCCTGCGCCTGCGCTGAACCACTGAACAACGTCAACACCCATACGTGACCGTTGAGTTTGCCGCTGTGCAGAGAAGGTACACTCTGGAAATATAGTTGGCAGTTTGAAATCAGGCTTGGAGTTGTGTAGTCTTGTAGAGAGTGATAAAAAATTGTATTACAAGTGATATGTATGCATACAGACACGATAACGGCTGTAGGACGCGAGATATCGACGCGAGTGAAGAGCATGACGAGAGGCCCAAAAAGCTTACCTAAGCGTCGAGAAATCCACTCCCGTTGAACCCGTTGGAAGTTGGAACGTTCCCAGACTCTCACGGTAGGTCATCCTAATACGGATGAGCTTCCGTAAGAGGATGGATCGCCGAGACTAGAACCTGGGCTATCTGACATAGCCACTGACGTGAGCGGTGCAAAATCTCATCTTATCTTGTCATTATTTGTTCTTGTCCATTTAGGGGAGCTGTGCCCGAGTCTCAGCATACCGAGACTTAAAAGCCATCCACCATCACCTTGGTTCGGGTGTGTGCTTTTGTCTCGTCTTTTCTCTCTCTCAACTATCTCAATTCGCTTCCCACTTCGGTCACAAGAAGCTAATATGTCGTACGGCGGCGTAAGTCTAGTCTGCGTTGGAGGATCTCGAGATGATGAATGCTAACGAAACGGCTGCTACCTTGTAGGGATACGGTGCAGGAGGATATGGTGCCCCGCCCGGCGGTGGATATGGCGCTCCTCCCCCTCCCGGAGGATATGGCGGTGGACCGGTGAGTCTAACTCTTTCTTTCTCCGTGCGGGACGTCCCTTCTTGTATTTTCTTATGTTCTGCCCGTCCGGATGTCGTCGATTTGCTCTGTGGCGTTAAGTTCGAGCAACACTTCACCTCTCATCCTCTTAATTCATGAGCGGTGGCTGACGGATCGAACGCCTTTCGACACTAATAGACATACGGTGGAGGTTTCGCCCCTCCGGGTGGAGCTCGTGGTCCCCCTGCCGGCGCTGATCCGCAGTGCGTCTTATCGTTCACTAACGGTTTCCTCGTGTTGCTCACGTCACTCGCTTAGGTTGTGGAACTGGTTCTCAACGGTGGACACGGATCGATCTGGAGCGATTACTGCATCGGAGCTTGGTACGTTCTGGCGTGGTCTTGCGTGGCGTTCGTGGAGCTGACGGCGACTTTTAGAGCGCGCTCTAATCAATGGCGATTGGACTCGTGAGTATTGTACTTTATGGTTGTTCAAGTAGCGCTCACACGACCGTCCGACTAGCTTTCGATCTTGACACCGTCAAACTATTGATGACGATTTTCGTATGTTTCGAGTCAAAATGTCTAACAGAAAGCCTATAAGAAATGTCTTGTTGTAGGACACTGATCGGAGTGGTACCATTGGATTCAATGAGGTGCGTACACGGCCCATTCGTGCTCGTCAGAAGTCTAGCTGACATGTTTACAGTTTTCGGGTCTTTGGAAGTACATCAAGGTTAGGATTTTGGCGGTGATATCACCGACCGATCGACTAAGGCAGTACGGATAGGACTGGCAAAACGTCTTCAGGCACTTCGACCGCGATCGCTCCGGATCCATCGATGGCGCCGAGCTACGCGATGCCCTCGCCCAATTCGGGTACAACCTCTCCCCGCAGCTACTCGACCTTCTCCAGAAGAAATATGGTGACTGTTTCTTCTCATTCAATTTGAACTACCGAACTCATAAGACTACCCTTTGGGGTAGACGTCAAAGCTAACCAAGCAGCTGGTCGCGGTGCCCCAGCTCCTGGAATCTCGTTCGACCGCTTCGTGCGCGCGTGTGTCGTTGTCAAGCAGCTCAGCGAGGCGTTTGGCCGCCTCGATACCGACCGCGATGGTTGGATCCAGATCAATTACGATCAGTTCATGCATACGGTCTTGAGCTTGCCGTGAGGTGCTGAAGACGAATCAGCTTGGAGGGGGAGGACGAAGGTGAAGTCGGATGAAACATGAAATGCGAAGATGACGCGATGTACTCTATTTCTTTCTCGATTGCTTTGGACTTGCATAACCTCAGACAATCTAAAATTTCAATATTGAATCTCTCTTCTTAGCCTTTTCTTCAGAAAAAAGTCGCGATTAGATAAGATCCAATCTCTACCGTGTGATCGTGTGATGGGAAATCCAGCCCACGTGTTGACGTGATGTTCGACGCGTTTGTTGTACTTTGACCTCTTTTCACTCGCACTCTCCGTGTTCTTCACGCGTAGAGGTCCTGCTACGCCACAAAACACGGCCATACGCGACACCATGCACTTGAGGTCCACCATCAACCAGCTTACCACCTCCAATGGCAACGTTCCAGTTGCCATTTTCAACTATGAGAGAAAGAGGAAGTTCATTCAGATCTCCGAAAGTTATGAAGTACGCCATGTCCCATTTTCGTCTTTCTCTATCTAAGCTCTTCTACCTCTTAGGAGACTATCCAGCGCGTGAGCTCCTCTTTCGGGATCAAAGAAGCTCAGCCACGTGTCCTAGTCTTGCGGACATCAGCAATCGACGCGTGTAGAGGCGAGGAGGTAGAGATCGACCCCAGCGCGTATCCACACCTGCTCTCCGTGCTCGGGGAAGTAACGGTCGTGCTAGAAGAAAGGGAAAATGTGCCTGTGCCAGGAAATGGTGCGTTCGAATTTTGACACTGTCCGAGTCACATTGTGGTCCTTTGATCGCTATTCTTAACAGGCCTACCAAAGGTTGGAGGTAATAATCCGCTTCCAACCCCGTCTGCGACGCCGCTTGTTGGGTCTGTGCAGGTGCAAGTGGATGTAGCTGTCGCCGGACCGTCCAATGCCAAGGCGGCTGAAGCACCACCGAAGGAGAAGAACAAGCCTGTGCCAGAAGAACAGCAGGGGTATTTCGATGCCGAGCCGCCCGAGGAAGAGTACGAAGACGAGGAAGAGCTTCTCCGAGCCCAGGAGGAGGCACCGTTGAAGCCTGCGGCTGGTGGCTCGAGGCTCCTTGACAAGCTCGACGAGATCGCGAGCCAGGGCGAGCCGCAGAAGAAGTTCAAGGCTTCTATGTTGCCACCGGTCGTGACAAACACAGGTGCGTACACTGCCTTCAAACTTTTGTGTAGCTCTTATTGACACCTGACCTCATGATAGAATTCCCTAAGCCAGTGAAGAAAGAAAAGGTACCACACGCGGAGCCCTCTCCTGCTGGTCAGTATATTCTCCTGCGAGTTAACTTGGTGTGCTGATACTACTGATACCGTGCCAGTGGAAACCTCCAGCCCGCGGAAAGCCGCTGCTGGTGCACAAAGTGATGACCGGTTCGAGATCACGATCAATGGGCCGGCGCCAAACCAGTCGGCGCAGTTCAAGACGCGGGGAAAGCACGTCATCAAAAAGGTGCTCGCTGCAGCGTGCAAGACGTTTGACATCGACGAACAGAGGTACGTCTTTCGTTCCCCGTCATACATTCTGCTCTTTCCACTCTTATCCACCTTTCCTTGGTTGCTTCTTACCTCTCCTTTCTTCGTCCCTGAATTGTCTGACATCGAACCTTCATTTGCTATGACACCACAGCGCCCGCCTCTTCCTGCTGATGTCCGTCCCGGATGACGACGGTACAGTGCTGACGCACGAGTTCGAGTGCCCGCCAGACGACTCGATAGCGCGGTGCGGGATCGACAAGGACGCGAAACTCTTTGTGCGTTTCGCGAAGGAGGTGCCGGGACGTCGTGCTGCAGAGGCTGATGAGGACGAGGATGAGTAGGCTTCTGAGTTGATCTCGAGAGGAGAGAAGGACGATCTGAGGATTTGAATCGTTGGCTTTCTGGTTTCTTGATTGGCAAGTTTCTTGTAACTGTCGTATACATATCCCCTGTTTTGTCATGTATTAGACTCTGACGCCAGAAGGATAGCTCCGCTCATGTACATAGCTAGCACCCCAGCATATTTCTATATAGATTTTATTACCGGCCTTTAACCCAAAGAAGAGGGAGACTCGTTTCCCCTTTGCCGTCTGAACTTCCTTGCCAGTGAAGGTCGAGGAAAAAATAAATATTGAGACCCGTAGGTCTACCACTCCGGGAAAGCGTGTCATCCTTGTGCAGGGGCCATGCTAATCTTCTCTGTATCGTTCCAATTTTTTCGTATGTCACCCCGAAGGGGACAAAAACCTTTAGCGGAAAGGGGGTGAGGTGGACACATTGATGTATTTTGTTCGGCCCACTGGGTGAGCGCTTGAGCGCTTAGCTAAGAATTTCTACTCTGACAGATAATGATGGAACTCATGCTCGAATGTGCAGAACAATGTAAGTTTATTAGCACTTCTAGAATAGCAGGGTATATCTGTAGAACTTTAAGGGGTACAGTTGTATGAGAAGTTTAACTCATTCAAGAGTATAAGATCAAAGGCTATGATCTTCAGAATCATTTCTAGCGATTCCGGCCCATGGGGAATAAGGATTCTTGGGTGGGGGCTTCGTCACCGGTGCATACTGCAACTCCAAACAAAGTTGTGCCTCTAGCCTCTCTCGCGCTTTGGATACAACATCGGCATCCGTCGGACTTGTGTGATCGAGGGTGGCCGCTACGCGCTGAAGCTTCGTGCACTCCGAGTATCCAGATTGCAGGCTGCACGTCAATCGGTCCTTGACGAAATTAAGGACAGTGATGTCCTTCACATCTTTGCCATTTTTGAGAATTATGGTCCTCAGTTGGGGACAGTCCACCACCCCTTTTTTGTCTGGTAAGAGGAGAGCGAGAAGAATGTTGGCAGTTGCTAGAGGCTTCCTGATCTTTGGACTACGAGAAAAGCGAAAAGTGGTGGGTTCGTCCGCGAAGGAATTGATGTGCCCGAAAGCTGCAAGGCATTTCTTGAGGTCCTTCTTCTCGAAATATCTCGTGTCCAACGCAAGGTGTCGCGTTGCAGTTGTCCATGGGTTCCCAATGAGAGCGGCCACGACACCTGGTTCTGGTCGCCGAAAGGTATTGTAGTACTCCAACCTATCCAGACATGGGGCGCGAATCGAAGAGAGAAGCTTTGGGATAGTTTTAGACCCCAGATCGGTGACCTGAAGTGATACCAGGCTGTACAGGAGGATCGGATCCCAATCATCCTCGTCGGGAGATTGCATATTCCCCTCTTTTTCGCTCAACACCAGTTTGCACTCGACCAGGTTCGCAGATTGCGCAAGAATGATATGGGTTTCTGCAACAGAAATCGCGCCGTCGGGCATATAGTTGCCAGGCCAAGATCTACTCACACCGATACCCAAGACAAGATGGGTCAAGGACCCCCATGAGACCTTCGTTCTGGAGATCCCAGTGAGGACGCACTTCAAGCACAATGTGCGTATTCCCGGCCTGGCGAGCAAGTTCGCTGTCGCTCCCCAAGACAAGTTGGCATCGCTCGAAGACCGCTGAAATCCGGGAGCTGCGAGTTCCAATTCCAACTTCGTCAGGTTCACAAACTGTTGCGTCACCAGTCGACCGAGTAAATCAGTCATCGTGAGGTCGGCGGACTGCACCTTGATGGCTCTCCACCGCCTGCCGTGTAGGAAAAGAAATTCGAGGTAAGTCTGTGGGATACGGCTATACTTGTCTGCGTCGTACCACGCGCTCGGAGGGCAGCTGAGAGTCGTGGAAAGGAAATGGGTGCTTCCGGAGCGAGAGAGCCATCTAGAAACGAACTGCAAGTGGGATCTGACCTTTAGCTGAAGCTCTTCACGGAAAAGCAGGCTTTCATCACTGTTCTCGTACATATGAGAGTCGGAGCGGGGAGGAGGAGGCAACATCGGTATGTGGACACTAGTCCATAGGAGTGGGTGGCTGAATACAAGGTCTCGCCATCTTTTGCAGACACGAGCCAAAACAAGCGGGAAAGCATCGACGCTCATAACGCAGTCGTGGTCTTCCGGGAAGCAGAAGGAAAAGATTTCGCAGAGGACCTCGTTGGGAATACCATGGATAGGAGCGTGCCAAGAGTGGAGCATCTTGATCTTCTTCGAAATTTCGACACGTTGCTCGATGAGTCTTTCCATAGAGAGGCTTTCTTGATAGATTTGGTGGTTGATGTCACCCAGGCCAATAGACAGCTCGTCCACTTTTCTCGAGATTTCTGCTTTTGAGGGGAAACCTCCAAGAGGAAGGTAGATCGGGGCTTGCCGCCCCGGTGGCATGATAGACCAGGTGTTATCCCTAGAATTAGAAAGTAGCAAGAGCCAAGCAACGTATCAACGACCGATCATTTCATAGGCATCCGTGACATCACAGAGATTACGAGCGAGAACTCACATTCTTCAGTCCTGAGCGAGCTTTGAGTGAGCTTCCTGGATGTGCGTTTATTGGCAAAGGACAGAGGTGCGAGGTTTAAATGCTATATAACTATTGTGGCTCTATGTTTGCCATGACCCTTTTCACTTGCTTTTGACCAGTTTTGACCTTGGGCTCAATCGTTGTCAAGACAATTACGAGTTCTTACGTAAGTAAGACTCGTTCTTTGCGATTTCCGGGTTTACCGATCATTGTGCTGGGCGGGTATATGCCAATACCTGCCTGAGAAAGCTGACACATCACATCTCTTGACGATTTTCACGAGCTTCCAGTGTAGTCTTCCAGCTGTAAACTTACAGGTAGACTACAAAAAATATATTCTTTCATGTGTCAATTTTTGGTGGTGGTGGGTGCACCAAGCACGATGGAATGTGGAACGAGGTAGCTACCGAGCCCCTAAGTCTATCTGCCGCCGCACAGCCACAGATATTTCTTTTCCATACAGCAGGAAACTGAGTAGGCTCCTGGAACCGCGAGAGCAGCAGAATCCACCCATATTCACCACTTAATCTTGTATCATGATGGTGCAATAAATTATATGAAGTAAATTTATTCTTTTGCCTTGAATTTGGTGTCAGCAAGGTGGTCAATACTTGTCAGTGCGACGCGGAGACCCCGGCCCGTCCAATTTGGCAATCTCGAAGCGCGCACGGCGCGCGAGAGAAAATTTTCCCATTCCGAGCATTGGGATGACGCCCTCGAGATCGTCTGCCCTGCCGTGAAGGTGTTTTTGAGGCGCACACAAGCTCTCCCTCTTTTCTATTTTTTAGTACCCAGCACAATAATCGGAAAACCATTTTCCGGGGGAGATTTTTGCACCCTCATCATGTGACACGGGTGTCATCACCTGACTCGAGGTTTCTGCTCAGCGGGCCGGGATTGTTGAGGCGGGCGCCTCGACAGTCTACGTCGTATTTGGACTAGCTAAGCCTGTCGTGCCGTGAGGAGTCAACCGAAGGTCGGCGACGAGTGGCACATCCTTTCTGGTTATTTTCCTCCTGACAATTTGAAGCTCATGGCTTGGGTAATTCAAGGATACTTAACTAAACACTTTTTAAAGAGACAATTATCTGGTAACCGCCATATAAGGCTTTGATAAGGCTCTAAATAACTGAAGAACTCGTAATTGCCACGCTCCGCCGTGGCCGCTTGCACCAAGTTCATTACGCGGTTCAAACGGTCCACACGTGATCTAGGCGCTAAAGCTTCCCTCGACGAGCGCCTATCACGATGCGTCATGGAACACAAAGAAAATCTAGAGGATCGCCAGCATCTCGTTCTCAAATTCCGTGAGCCAGATCAGAGGTCAGTGAATGGTGATGTATGATATTCAGAGAGTCGTGAACTAGAATCGGTACTGGGGCTACGCTGCAACGATGTGCTGCGGGACATAAATGGAGACGAAGTACCATACTGCCTTGATCAATTATCACTTAAGCCATCTGTAATAAAACTTTCAGGGTCATAGACCATCTGCGCAGGGCTCCTTGAATAGTTGGTCAGGTCAGAAACAGAAACGGAGAGCAATGCGAACCTTTTCTCGATTCCCTATCATTCAATCGAGCAATGTTAGCACATGTTCGTCAATAGTAGAGCGTGACATACGTTCTCCTTCCATGCGATGAAAGCTTTGAATTCAGTCAGGCCTAGTGATAGGATAATATCATAATGGGCCACGTAGTAAGATTTCTGGAAGCGATCTGAAAACTGTCGAGGCATCGGGAGGTTGGTTAAGTCTGCTTCAACGTGGCACAGGGTAGTGTAGAGTGCTATAAATTACTTTCTAAGTCAGGATATACTCAAAATATTAGCAGGTAATGAACCTGATTCCTCGTCAAACCAGCGCGGATCTTCTCGAGAACCTCGGAAACATCTGATTTTTTGGGATATATTTTGTAAGTCTGCTAGGTACTGACTCCTTTGGGTCAAGCGTTTTCGGAATTCCTGCGTCTCCGACACTTTTGTATTCTAATGATGCAGAAATCAGCGAGGTAAATATCTCCGGCTCAGTAAGCTAAATTTGCAATGAATACCTTTGGTAGTATTACACGGAAGCCTCTGATCCTCTTTATGCCGTCCCAAGACGTAAATACTTGGCTTCTGCGAGCCATGTGCTCCGGGTCTGTGGAATCGTATTTGCGACTTATATGGCTTCCATATGAGAATTTGGCCATTCTAACTTCCACGAAATGGTCGATGTAAAAGGACACCGCCCCGTCGGCGACAGCCTTATTGCTAAGGGGGAATCGTCGAAGACGGAATGAATAAGGATAACGTTCAGAAAGAGAAAACCGACGTGTGGCTATTTGGACGACTGACGTCCATACCCTGGGGTGTAAAAGTGTTCTTGAGAGTGTTGAATAGCCAATTGCTGGACGCAAACCCTCCAACGAGGAAAACTGACTGACTAACTTTCAAGTGTTGCATTGTTAGCTGGGGCAAGGCGGCTCACTGAGATTTGAGCCTCAGATGAATTGCACTGGTCATCGATGGACTTGGTGATGCACCTGATTGACGGCTCAAAAAATTTAGCCACCTCAGCTCTAATTGTACAAGTCAAGATTAATAGCGTATCAACTCCCATGAGGATTCCCACTCGCTCACCCAGGAAGTCTCAGTTGCCCGGAGCGAATGTTGAGACTAAGGTCCTTGTCTCGTGGGGTACCGAACTTGATGTATTGGGGCTCCTCGGAATTCACGAACCGCAACTTCGTCGTCTTGTCGAAGCGATCCGTCATGTTTGGGATGTCCGCGACAAATTTAGACCCTTGGAGAAGATCTGCCGGAAGCACGAGGTGAGACGTGCACCCCCCCGGGCCTGTCACCTACCGTTCAGGTACGCTTCCGCATTCTTCGTTACAAATATCGATCCCTGAAAATGACCTAGATATCCATCACGTTCAGGGAATTGAAGTGGCAGAAAGGCACGAAAACGTACATTGTGGGGCGGCAATTTCCTCGTATGAACGGCCACTATCAGATGTTTTCTTGTAGGCGCTAATATCGACTGTTCCGCCGCCGGCGTCAATGATCAGGATGCCCTTGCCATTCTGTCAGACAGAAATTGAGTGTTGTCTACGATTCCACTCCAGAAGCAGAGCTACCTTGATAGCCTCGGTCGTCAAACCACTTTGAATGCAGAAATGTAGGCTGGCTTCGCCTTCCGTGACGAACGACAGACGGGCTCGCCCTGCCTCTGTGTCCGGCACCAGGCCGGCCATGAGGGCAGCCTTGCGCATGAGGCCTTGCTGCCCACCCTCCCATCCATTCGGGTGCGTCAGCACGAAGTCAGTCCGATCTTCGAGGCTACACCAAAGCTCAGGGCCGTTAGCGTGTGTTTCTTCGATGTAACTCTGGGCGCATTTGTGGAGATATTGCAGAAAGTCGGCGAAGACATCGACAGCTGTCTTTCCTCTCGGTAATGGGGGGATTTTCTCGCTGACATGTGCTGCCGACGTTGTCCGGGGACGCAAATGCAGTTTGAACCTGTTGACATCTTTAGCCCTTCGTAAGGCTACCGCGAATTAATATACCATTCTGCCTTCATCCAGCCTTCGTCTTCGACGAGCTCGTCTATATTCTCGCGGATGGCCTCAGCCCCGACTGCTTGTACTCTGCCGTCACGATCGTAATAGATGATGGTAGGGATCTTCGAATCGCCTCCTACATGCTCCTGGGCAGGATAGCTTCACGACATATCAGAGAAGTGATTGTTGGCTGTCTTGTCCAGACTAGAAACGAATGAAATACCTCGTTACGCCCCGTATGACAGGGATTTCGCCTGGGTCGAGAATGCTATACATGTGCACTTAATACAATGTCTCTCGTATTCGATGCTAAACAATAGACGCTAATCTCACCTATACGAAATTCCACTGAACGTCGTGCCGATGTCGAAGGCTAGGATCAGTTTGCGATAGGCACCGTTGTAAGGAACTCGAGTCGGCATGGCGGACGTGAAGGTGAATGGATTGGGGGAAGAACTCCTGTGTGTGCTGAAACTGAGGCCTGAGGCCGAGGCCTTGAGGTGTTGTCGAACCCCTACCACGCGTTGTCCACGCTTTATCCATGCTGTTACAGAACCTCCACGAAATCGAATTGGCAGTCTGTTCAGAAAAAATCATTAGACTCATGATCGCTGGAAGCAGGTGCCGCAGTTCGGTAAGACGTTCCCGTGCGATAGTAGAGGAGACAATATAGCAAGCAATCACTAACTCAATCAACAATTCCTACCTGGCGTCCAATTTCCTTCTCGCTGAACCAACCGAAACCTGAGAGGCAGTAAATAAATAAATTCTGTCAAGAGGTGGTAGTACAGCACGCGGCCGAAGGAAGATGGACACAGCACCTCCGAGTCTCATAGCACAAAAGGCGCCCACGCTTCAACAAGCCCATCTGTCGCTTTCGAGATGACCGCCCATTCCGGGAGGAACGTCAGCACCTCCTCCAGAGCAGGTATCTTGGGCCCATCACGAGCTGCATTGTCCAGGCCCAGAGATCCATTATCAACGAGACCGCTTTCATACTCGACCCATTCGCATGCCACTCGCCCTTCCATGCAGGCGCTCTTCTCCGCTACCGTCTCATCCGACGCCGGACCTTGCCAATCGACCTCAACCACAAACTCCTTCTCCCATGTCCTGCTCCAGAGCCTGACCTCCGTGACGCCGGTTGGGGGCACCTCATATCCCGGCTGCATACCCTTCCCACTTGACGCGTACTTCGCAGCACCTTCATCGTCACGAAGGTCCAAGAGAGTGTACTTGTGGATCGGCCGATTATCGAAATATACCCTGCACGAACGGGTATTCCTTCCTCGCACGTGAATCCTTGCTGTCGTCTCGTTTGTTCGCTGCACGTCAAACCGAATGAACTCGCCATCAGCCCATGGTGGGTCAAGTCCAGTTTCGGGGAGGTTAGCGTAGCTCAACATGCCAGGAACGGGCATCCTCTCGACTCCGCTGTCCCATTCGCACTTCACCAGCCCACGTTTCGCTAGGTCGTCATCGCACTTGATCTCCTTAACTACATTAGCGGAGGGCAAGTGCGGCAAGATGCTGCTACGCAAGTACTTCTTTGGGCCAGAAAGAACTGTGGTGATCTTTGGTCGAGAAACAATAGGCGTGCCCAACGAGGTTCCAGAGACTGTGGGGTAGAGCTCTACGCGTTGTTGGAAGTACAGTTTGAGCGGATCTTGGGAGCTGAATGGGAAGGCGAGCCATGCATATAGAGTCGATAGCAAGAAGGTGAGGAAGACCAGGAGTGTAAGCGGACGATACGGTCTTAGTTTGTAGGCGAAGGGCGAAAGTGGGAGGACAAGCAGAAGGGCCGACAGAGCAGCCATGAGGTATACTACATAAAATCGCCGTTTTAGTCGCCGAATAACGATGTAATGCTGAAAACGAAACTTACCACCCCACGGCGAAGCACCGTCCGCCAGCGTCTGTGGCATCGCGTCGAGGAGTATCGCTGTTACATGCCCGAGTAAAGCAACAGGGATTGGGACCGACACCAAGAACTGAGGAATCCACCACCAGGTAGCCAACGTCCCGACGCCGCCACCTTCCTCCTCTTCTTCCGAGAGATCTCTCCGAGCGAGCTGTGCATCGGAGTTCTCTCCAGGAACCTCATCATCCACACGGCGCAAGAGCGGAGTCCGCTCATCACTCGGGCTTGAACCATTCGAAGTTGAGGGGCGCTCGCCGTCGAGCTCTTCATGACCTGCAGCTGGGCCAGCCGCATAAGGCTGTGATTTGACCAATGTAGACAGGACGATAGCCTCGACGACTGTAAGGAGAGAACCAACACCCGCGCACACATTCCATGGGCTGACGAGGTAGCCACTCCCGAGACCAGGGTCCAGGTGCGTGATACCGATCGTGGCAAGGATGAGAAGCATCCAGGTGAAGAAGTATAGGTGGAAGAAGATGGTGCGTTTTTGATCTTGAGCAGGAGGTTCCAGGTGGGGTTTGAATAGGTTGTTGATCTTCGGGTGATAGAAAGGGAGGCAGGAAGGGAAGGTCAGCGTGAAGGCAAGACCAAGGTAGGCTAGGGCAAGGAAGGAAACAAGGATGAGGTATGGGTAGGAGTAGATGACCTGTATCGTAGTCAGCTTCAAGAAAGGGTGTATGAGATGAACACGTACGAAAGGGTTGATGACCACGTATAACAAGATTTCAAGGACCAGCATGCCAAACGCCACCGCAAACGCTACCCAGAACTTTGCATGCGTCCAGATGATATGAATCAAGCTTGCGAGAGGTCGTCGAGCTGGTGCCCGAGAGCCCTCTTCGTCCGGGGGAAGTATTTGACGTAGGACAATACGCTCATACACGACGAGAGCAATCAACAGGAGAGGTCCAATTACGAGAGCCACGATATTGAACGTCAGCAGCTTCGTGAGCGGGAAGACGAATAAAACGGATTTAAACACTAGGCGCGAAAACCTTGAGTCATCGACAGGTAAGATAGCACGAGAGAGACTCACCATCAAAGTATACTGCTGGATCTTTCTTCTTCGTGTCAGGTTCACTTTCTTGCAACGGGGCATCAAGCAATCCGATGCCAACACCCTTCGCGACTTCCATCATACTCCATAGACTCTTCTGACCACCCACTGTATGCTGAACCGCGTCGTACTTCGTGTGGTACCTGCTTCTGCCTTTGTAGAACGCAAGGTCGAGACCGTCCATTGGTGGTCGGGTGCCAGGGCCGACGTAGACTGAAAAATCTGTTCCGGAACGAATGAGACCCCTGGAGAAGGCATCTGAAGACAGTACGTTCGCGTGCGGGTGTAGGACGAGCTTGGTGTTACGGAACGAGCGCACTGCAGACGTTGACGTGGAGCGGAAGAGGATTGGCCGACTACAAAGCAGACTTAGAATAACTTTCATAGGAAAAGCGTGGCCGCCTACCCTCCTGCAGCAGCCCCTTCGAGATTAAGGAAGACCTCGGTCAAGTTCGACCAAGGGTGCTCGAGGAAGCTAATGGGAGACGTAAAGAAGAGTGTTGAAAGCACGCTCGATTACGTACGCATGGGCACCGTTCAGCCAGTCTTCCTCGCCGTTGTTGATGTTGAAGACGGCCGTCCTTCGCATTCGGTTCTTGCTGAAGTACTTGACAAGCTGAAGGAGTGTTGCTACACCCATTCCGTCGTCTGTAGCACCTGGTGCTGTCGAAACTGAGTCGTAATGTGCTGAAAAGAGAATGCCACCGGTCGCAGCACCGGAAGAGGAGGAGTCGGTGCCGTCAATCTTCACGAGGAGATTGGTGCCTTCGAAGTAGACTCCGTAAAGCGAGCCAGCCCATGAGCCATTGCTGCTGAGGTCGTCGGCGATGTGAACGTGAGGGTAGTCCTGTGTGATGGTGTGCAGTCGGGAGAGGAGGTACTCGCGCACATGGTCGTTCGCATGAGAGTTGTATGGATGAGGATGGGCAGTAATCTGTACACTGTGAGGATATGCGGGGTCTGGGATATCGAAGATAGCTCACATGCCGGAGATCCTCGTACGCCTCCTTCAAGTCTAATCCACCCTGTGCACCAGGACTTGGAACGTTGGGAAGTTTGTCTGTGATTGAAAACGCAAGAAATAACGCGAAATAGGTGATAACAGTCAAAATAACTGTTGGGAGCACCCTATAGCCGAGAACAGAGGCAGCCTTAGTAGCCAGCGTCATGGGTGTCTTGGGAGTCGAGAGCGGAGGAGGAACAATTGCGTTCAAGTTCCTTTATAGCTTTGGCGACGCTTGACGCTTTTCACGCTGTTCAACGCCTGCGAGAGCTATATTAGAATTTCATTTTGGAAAGGATGAAAACTCCAGTACCACAATGCAGCCGTAATGCCCCGACACAGTTATTCAGACCACAAATGAGCTTCTAGATGCACGCAATAGGAGGATAATCGCCGTTAAAGTGAGATAGTAATCATCGTAACTGTCAAGGTGAGGACAGCGAGGAGCGAGGAAGAGCAGTCGCGAAAACCTGCCAAGACCCGGTGGTCCGATCACACCCACGCGCTCGGCCCGCGAGCCGGTCCTGATGATCTGGACTGGGCACCACCTTGCCCTGAAAGTTGTCCCTTGAAATGATGCCTTGCGAAACCAGTTCAAGCTCACAAAAATCATGGAAATTACAATTTTTATGACGGACTACTCGTTCTAATCAAGCAACCTTGATAACAATTTTTCCGATATGCTTCTGGGAATCGAGATGGGCATACGCCTCGATTGCCTGCTCGAAGGAGAACACTTTGTCAACAACAGGCCTGGTGACCTTAGGATTGGCATTAATAAGGCGATTCATGAGCTCGAACCTGTTTAACGCCGATGAGCTTTAGTTCCAGTATCACAAGCATAGAATAAACTGACTGGGACACGGAGCCGACGTTGATTCCTCGCAATGTGACCCCCTTCATGATGGTCGGGATCACAACGTCGAGATCGTTCTTGTCCTGTAAAATGGTGGATAAGAGTCCATTCTTCTACATCCACTGTCATTCCTCACCAAAGAAACAATACCAATTAGGTGAATGTGTCCACTGCCCACTCGAGCTGCGTTGACGGATTTCGATACCGTGCCTGGGCCGCCGACCTATGCAAGCGTCAGCCAAGGGCTATCCTACTTGTGGGCGCCTGAGAATGCAGACCTCGATGACGTGATCGACCCCGACACCTTTCGTCTAAAAATATGAAAGGTGTTTATAAGAAGAAACGGGCGGGGACTCAGGTAGATCGACTCACGATCTTCTTGACCTCCTCGTCCCACTGCGGCGTCGTCTTATAATTGATGACGTGCTTGGCACCGAGTTTCAAAGCGGTCTTTAACTTCTCGTCCGAGGAAGATGTCGCAATGACAGTCGCTCCTGCGGCTACCGCAAACTGCAACGCAAAGCTATTGCCAGATAGAGTGAGTCTCCGCGCAAATCACCAGACAAGCCTGCGCACTGACATTGATACCCCACCGGTCCCAAGGACGAGGACGTAGTCTCCCGCCTTGATAGGAACAGGCCCGTTTAACGCATTGTACGCGGTTGTGGCCGCACAACTGGCCGAACATGAGAAGAATAACCGATATAATTTTAGAAGATACGCACGGAAGAGTAGAGGCCTCCTCATACGAGAGATGGTCAGGAATAGCCACGAGTGACTAATGGACTCTAGGAGTTAACCAGCTGCGCTATACTTGCAATTTAACGGACTAGACTTACGTGGGCTGGGACGACTTTGTACTGGGTCAGAACACCTGGTATGTGACCTCCCAAGGTGGATTGTTGGGTAGTCGGTGTCGGGGCTCCGTAGATATGCTCTGGCGAAAAGCTGGGAGAGACTCTGTCGCCCACCTTCCAGTTTTTGACATCTTCCCCGACACCGATGATCTCTCCGGCCATGTCAGAGCACGGGACGAGATTTCCAAGTGACCTGAGGCACCCCGTTGAGCGGAGGGACGAATACTACACATTGAACTCCAATTTGAGACTCACTCGGGAAGAGGATAGAACCCTCTAGAGATGAGGAGATCGCGGAACTCGGAGGTGGTTTAGGATCCAATACAAGCAAATGATAGTATCGAGCTCACTTGTAGGGAAACAGCATGGACCTTCAGGAGGACTTCATTAGCTCTCAGTGAGGACACCTGTCCGTCTGCTAAAACAAGGTTGTTATACGATCCAACCTAGAGGAGAGAAACCTTGAGCCACGGTGCATAGTTGACGGCGCTTTTCTCGACACCCACCTGAGAGAGCTGATATTGACGGGTAACAGTGGGGAGACTCATGTCGAGAGGCGAATGGTGGAAGTAAAAAAGAACAAGGAGAGAGAGAGAGAGCGGGCTCGCATTACTGATCCATCTGTGGTTTTACAGGCGGTGACGCCGCCGCCCGAGATTACTCATCTCACCTTGGAGCTCTGATGACGGCAGGTCTGTCAACTGCTTCTAGAGCGATTTAACAATTGGAAGTCAAAGGGCCTGTGAGAGACTATTTACCCAGGCTTACCCAGGATTCATGGATGTCTTCATCCATGACCAATCACTCTTGAGAAAAGAGCGGTACAAGGAAAGCCATTGGAGTTAGGTGTACATCTTCACGTCATGCCTTCTGCTGTCGATCCGAATGACTGCCAATCGGAATCAGGTATATAGCGCCATCTCCGAACCAAGTTAACTTCAGCTCCTGGCTTAACAGAACCTGGAAAATACGGCTTTTTGTTGGAATATGGGAATATGAACAATCAGACTCTCCACTGGCGTCGTGAATTTGTGGAAGCGACAAGCAAGCACAGCGTCCGCAACTTAGGACGAATATACAGAAATTGGATCCATCAAGGAGGGCTTATCAGAAGGGTGATTATTCGGGTATCCTCCGCACCTGTGTTCTATCTTGGCCAAAGTTCAATCCTTCGTGGATCGGTCTGTTCGTGTTGGAGGGTTCGTTGGGGAATCAGGTCTCTTCCAGAAGAAGAGGCTGAATTGCAGATAGTCTCCGTTCTGAAAAGTGGAGAACGTGCCGTGGCACATCGATCTGCCCGCAGCATCGCAATTGTTCCTCCAAGCGTACAGTTGCGACCTGGAAAATAGATGAACGAGATGTCAACTGCGCGATGCTGGAAGTATCAGATACCATGATATCATCGGGGAGAATCTCGTTTTTTGGGATGGTTCTTAAGCCACCTCTTTACGACACTTGGTATCGGACACGCCGTCGATTCCCCCTGGCCGTCTGTCCTGTCGTACATTCTTTGGCAGCATTCATAGAGGTTCCGCAGCTGTCCGTCGCACTTCTCAGGTGTGTACGTGTTCTTGTTCAGGCACGACTGGAGATCGCATGCTTTCAGATGGGGTATTAACAAAACTGAACTTCCTGACTTTCGAAGTCTCATGGTTGCGTGGTACCTTCTGCCTGGCATTCAGGTTGCTGGTGACGTTGGAAGACTGGATTAGAACAGACGTAGAAAGACAAGCGTGTTGCGTACTTTCGGCGACATGATACTCTGGATTTCGACTTGAGAATAGTAATTGGGCGTGCCGGAGAGAGGCTGGCGGATGATGTCGTCAATTGCGTCGTTGGAAAGTCAGAGGAAAAGAAAGGGAAATCGCGACTAGGCAGCGAATGGGAAAGTATGACGTCATCAACGACGACCTCTGCCGAAGCCGAAGCCTGCTCTCTCCCAACAACCACTTTGGACACCTAACGAACAAAATCCTTCGGCAGATTATTACTAATGGGCTGTTACGCAATCTGGGATATATCCTATCGCTTCTGCACAACTTAGAGGCCGAGGAGGAGACACGGAAGCTGAAGGAACGGTGAGGTTGCCTTTCTTCCCATTATCTTCTAGGAGACGGTGGTGATCGTCGAGAATATTTTTAACATTCAAGACACCCGCTCATCAACATTTATTTGACCTGTTGCAGGATGATCTCCACCTTCTCTACGTTCCAGCGGGGTCGTGCGCAGCAATATGCCATATTCGGTTATGTTTGAGACAGTGCATGGCCATGCATGCTCAACGCACAGGATGCTTCGATCGAGCTACGGCGATGGCGGTGCCGCAATGAGAAGGACTGGGCACATCCCAAATCTTATCGTTTATAAACCTGCAGGCCGGATGGAAAACACCGTCCATTCCTCTTTCCTTCCCCACCACCCTCGAGGCATTTTCGGGCCACAATGTCTTCGTCCTTTAACCCAGTTCCTTCTCCTTCGGCTGGCCCCACGTCAGCAATTTTGACGTTCTCCTTCTCTTCCAGCGGCCGTATCTTTTTCTCCACGCCTACTCCGTCAGCCACTCTCACCGAACTCCCGAGCGTCGTGGCCGTCATTGGAGTGACTTTTATATCAAGTGTGACACCGTACTCGAGCGACCAACCCGCTCCTACGACCAGCGAACCATCCAATGCATCGGCTAGCCAGAGCACCTCAGGCCTCAACACTGGAGAAACCATCGCGATCGTAGTGGTGGCGGCCATGCTCGTTCTTGCCGTGGCGACTGTCGTCGCATTCAAAGTTGTCCGCCGCCGCCAACTGCAGAAAAATAGTCGGTCAGGATACGATCAAGGCTCAGAAAGCGGCCGTTCTATCGAATCCAGCGAGAAATACAGTGATGTCAAGGATACGCCGTACACCGAGTCCCGGCGGTCGTTCATAGAAACCCGCGGCATCGCCCCGCTGCTCGACCCCCAGGCGCACTATTCCCCCTTCGACAACGACCGTCGCAACTCGCAGACAGGCGACGCTGCGCCGTTACATAGCTCTGAGTACGAGTCGGAGGGCGTGTGCCAAGAGCATGCGGCCACGCTCGCCGATGCAACGCCCCGTCCGCAGTCCACCGCAGGGACACAGCTAGAGACGGTCGCCTTGCACCCTCCAAGCGCCCCTTCGCGCACTGACGTGAAACTCCAACCTCTGATCATCCCGGATAACAGGGCATCCATAGCTGCGACCTTTCCCACTAGGCGCCCGTCCCGGACCCGTCGTTCCGTTCGGAGCTCGAAGCACGCCTCACGGGCGCTTGATGGAGGTTACGACTCCGACGACTCGGCCTCACTGTACTCGCAGGCCTCCGCGGGGACACAGCAGTCAGTGCGTTCGACGCTCGCCATCTCAGCGTCCACCATTCAAGCCTTCCCTCTTCCCAACGTTCCTATCTCCTCTTCGCCAGCCCACACTCCCGATGAGGACGGCATCCTCCGCGGCTCTCCGCGATCGCTCTTCGACCCCGTCCCTCTTCCACCAGCCGATAGCACCGAAGATGGCGTCGAACGGTCCGACACGCTCGTCGTCGCCAGCCTCCTCAAGTCGCGTACGAAGCACATCTCCGCCAACCAGCCCTCTCGTTCGTCGAGCCTCGTTTCTCACATCGAGCGTAACGGCTCCATCAAACCTGCGATTTCGCCCATTGGGGAGGAGGGAGAGCGGGAGACGGCTCGCGAGAGGTACTTGAGGATGAAGAAAGAACAGGCAGGGCCAGAGCAGTACATTATCGCACCGCCGATGCACGCGACGAAAAGGACTCCAGCCCGTTCATCGCGTCCTCCTTCGACACTGGCTCAACCAGCCGAGGAAGCACACGAAGAGCTTCCAGCTGTAATCCCCGTCACGCCGACTCAGACTGCCCCACTAAGACCGAAGAGGAGCCCGGCACGACCATGATCTCTCTATCGGACTTTCTAGCTTTTTCGTTCGTTTCTTGCTGTTTTGACTGTTCGCTCATACTTTCGTACTTTCTTCGTTTTCCTATAAGTTATTCATTCGAGTTCGTCCTTTACAGTCCCTCCTTTCGCTGTACACTTTACGCGCTATCATTCGACAGTTTTACACAAATGGACAGAAGTAGTCTACAATCAATTTGAACATGTGTAGTTGTGCAGTAAACCCTGATGGAAGGCTCATTCTAAGGACCTATAAGTTTCACCACCCAAGTCTCGGTCTCCCGAAACGAATATGGTAGATGCCTCATCTGCGAAAAATCGTCATCCCTCTCCAACCCTCCGAAGAACGTCTTGTCTCCCAGAAAATCGATCCTTTTCGGGGATCGTTCATCCAAAGGATCTTGTTCGAATCTTTTCTTCTCTGCGTCGACAATGATCGCCCTGCGAGCTCCCCCCTCTAGCATGATCATAAGACCCCACTCCGAGTCACGGATAGGCTCTTGTAGTGCTAGGTACAGGGCTTGCCAGATGTCTCCGCATGTCACCTCTTCGTCCGATATAATATTAATCTGCCATGGAAAGTCTTTGGAGACAATTTCGAGGCTACGCGTCGGGATTTTCTGTGCGGGACTGGTGCGGTATTTGTGAGAAATAGAGAGAGGGATAGAGTTTGATGGTTCGTATTTCAGATCATATTTTAGAGGGCTGGCGTCTTCAGCGAGGAGAGGGTGAAGTGACGGGTACTTGATGGACACGTTTAATTCGACTTCGGTGTCGTCCTCGGTCATCGTCTGGTCTGTAGGGAGAATTTGCATATGAAATTAGGTTGATTGTATTGCGCTCCTTACTTTGTTTGACAGCTCTAATTTGCTTACCGTCTGCCTGAGTAACAGTTGTAATGGGAAGTTGCACTCCGGATTGGATAGCTGATGTTGACGGTGGTGGCCATACTGCCTTCGTGACGAGGTAACGAGGATTTTGGACTCGACTTTGTTCTGCCGACGCGTCCGTCATGATGTATCCGCCTAATTTCAGGGTTTGAATCAAAGGTGCATGTTCGTCTGCAGAGCGCTTTTATAAGACGCGGAATCCGAAGGAGACGGGTACCCATTCTGAATGATGGCTGTGTGCACCGCAAAGCTAGTACTGCCTTGAGAAGGACAAGAAAACAAATTTATCGTCCGGGCCCTTCGGATCGCGAAAAGCCCAGTCCTGCCGCAGCCAATCGGTTACTCTAAAAGTCCAACACCTCGTCTTCGAGAGGTGAGTTGGTCATCAGAATACTGATATTCCCCCCTCGTGCATGGAAGACCAGAACAAGTCTCGTTAGGACGAGGGTAATCTTGAACATTGCGATAGCAGAGCCCAGGCAGCACCGATGTCGATGACCAGGCATCAAGAAGGATTGCGCCATCGGCACTTCGCGCGGAGCAAACATATCTTTGGACGAGCTCCAAACACCTACTCTTGTTCACCGACCACCACCATCATCTGCCCGATAGCATCCAATGCGCGCGTACTACTACGACAACATCCCTGGCGACCAGCGCCTCCCTCATGACTACGTTCCATCGCGCCCAGTCGCGGGAGAGACACTCGAGAACATCGGTGTGAAGTACTGGAACATCCCCGTAGAAGGACACGAGCCCAAGGTCAACGCTCTGGCGAAGGAGCGGGGGTACAAGAACCGGGATACAATCAACGTGTCGAAGGAGGGTCTTGGAGATGTGAGCGTGCGGTACTTGCGAGATGAAGTTGTGAGATATTAAGAGGATCTTTTGCAGATCTACGAGGCGAAGATCAAGACCTTCTTTGAAGAGTACGTGGCTGGCTTCCTTACTGCAACCCTTTGAAGCCGACACATTCTAAATTCCCTTAGACATATGCACGAGGACGAAGAGATTCGGTACATCCTCTCTGGCAGTGGCTTCTTCGATGTCCGAGGTGCGACCGTTTCAATTCCATAGCCACTGATGTCAATCTTATATCTGCTCCAGAGACCCCTTCGGATGAGTGGATACGCATCGCCGTCGAGTCAGGCGATCTCCTCGTCATCCCGGCCGGGATCTACCATCGTTTCACCCTCGACACAGCGAACAATATCAAGGCCCTCAGGCTATTCCAGGTGCGTTTTCCACCGTTATTCCCTCAGAAGATTACTCATATCTGCTATGTTTAGGACGAACCTAAATGGGTCCCATACAACCGGAGTGAACAGACGGATGTTAACCCTCATCGGGTTCAGTACTTGAAGGCTATCGGGGTTGGAGCTTGAGTTGCTCGCAGGAATCGTGAAAACCTGAAATATGAGATGTATGTAACTTGTATGTATCGATAAAATTTTCTCCAGCGCTGCTATTCCCGTTCGCCAGTTCGAGCCTGTCATATCTGAAATCTTCACACTTAGTTGTCACCCGCTCTCATCAGCCTTCTCAAGATGCGATTGTTCACATGAAGTATGAGATGGTCTCGTGGATGCTACTACTCCGACGCAAAGTCGCCTCGCAGTTGACGAACACTCTCAGCCCTCGAGATAGGAACGGCTGGAATAACTCCCGAATTTGAGGAACCTCTGCAAGGTCGATACCAGAGACATTCCCGAATGCAACTTCTCGGAGGTTGGAGATGGAGGTTTTCATCCTGCTTTCGAGGAACTCCAGGACCTGCCGGACGTCGACAGTTCCGAAGACGCCCTGTTCAAAAGTCAAGTTGGAAAGTTTTGGACAAAGGTGTTGTTCTGCATCTGCTTGCAGGATCAGAAGGTCGAGAAAAGTGCGGAGGGGGTTAAGGAACTCGATCGGCCAACTGGAGAAACGCGCCAATTGAGTTATGCGCGTTGCATTCGGAAGCAAGCGAAGGCATCCCACAAGATCGTCCAGAGTCAATGTGTAAACGTCGATCTCCAGCTGTTCCACGGATTCGCCGTAGTTCTCCAAGAGGACCAGCATGGGAGAGGGGTATTCAACCCACAATCGGCCCACGTATCGCAGATGGCGCAAGGCAGGCACCACGAGACGCTCCAGAAGTCCGTATATAGACCCGCTGTCCTCTGATATAGAGAGCGTCTCGAGGAAGGGCTGCTCGACCTCACCCTCCGCGTCGATCCCTTCGTCCTCGTCAACGATCGTCATATAAACCACCTTCAAACTTCTGCACTGCGAAAGCAGCTCGTGAGCCTCCGTGGCGGATATACCCCGCGTCCAGTCCACGTGGTGGAGCGCGATATCCAGATACGTGATGCGTGCCCAGCTCTCCGCAGGCATCGTCTCGACAATCGGGTGGCCCATGTTGATGAGTGTGAGCGAGTGCAACTGCGGTGCAGCGAACAGCGCAGTCCCCGCCCAGCGTTCAGAGGCCGTATAGGTGTGTGGGCCGAAGCGTACGGTCAATTTGCGCAGTAAAGGGAGGTCGGACGAGCAGAGCTCGAGGAGGGTCGCCTGCGCGACATCTGCTTTGCCATAGGTCGAGACCGGGTACAGCTGCACACTCATCTCGCGAATCTTCTCCGAGAACTGGAAGATTTTATCCAGGTACGCTTTGAGTGTGTCCTGCGCCCACCTCGACATGTCCAGCGCGCGCTTGCGCACACTAATGGACAGCACGACCTCACGCGGACGGGAGAGCCACTGCTGGATGCCTAACCCGTCTCTTCCGTTGAAGTTCGGTCCCCGTGAGCCAATGGCGATGTTGAAATTCGCCCACATAGCTGATGTAGCGTAAAGGAGCGTACGCCACCGGCTGCAAACGCGTCCGAGGAGGAGAGGAGGTCGGTGTGCGTCCATCGTTGATGCGTAGGGGTGGGCAAGACAGTGGAGGAATATCTCGCGGAGTACGTCGTCTGGTACCAGCCGGATGGGGGAGATGAGCACGGCGTGCGGGAGGATGTAGCGTTCGAGGGCGGTCTTTTCTTTGGAGAGGGTTCGTAGGACGGTAAGGAGGTGGGTTCGCTCGGCGTCGACTTCGGTGAGACGCTGTTTTGGAGCTCGGATGTGTTCGTTTATTTGAACGATTTCAGATGCGGAGGGGATGTGGTTTGTGTGCAGGACGTCTTTGAACGGAGATTCCTGAAGGATGTTGTGATGACGGGGCGCGCGAGATGTGAGTTATGATTCAGTTCAGTGTTGGATTAATGAAACAGACCGGGTAATCTGACATCTCTCAGGCGAAAATCCATAAAACGCGTTTCGCGTTCTTCGATATGGTGGTGAGGAACGAGGAGACCAACGTGCCCGTTGCACATGCCGAACGCCACGACATAAACGGAATGGAGACAAGAGATAAGATAAAGATCGCCACGCATCATTGAAGTTATCGCCCTCCCTTCCGTACGCGCTCTTTTTTTCTATTTATTATTGACACGTTCCCGCTAGTCCTTATGCTTCTGAAATTAAACGATGGATTATTATTTCATTATAACGATGATATAATAATGTTTCCGTCAACTTCGTCAAGCTGGGTCCTGAACTCCGTACTATGCAATTGTGCAACATTATCATATCTGCCAGTGGTTCAGTAAGCCGAGAGCTCTGAAATGGAGAAAACGGGGATTAATTACTCATATCTGGCTGCAGTTTAATGGCCTCCTTATGGTGTGTCCATCGCTTGCTTCGCCTGGTGCACTGTCAACCGCGCCATCACAAAGAGAACGACCACCTCGATGAGCGCGATTGCCGCCGTGACGAGGTGGGGGTACGAGATCCCCGGCTTCCCGACCATCTTGCACGTATTCAACCCCTGCATCTGGGTGCACTCCTCCCGAGGGAACTTCGCTGAGATCGCATCCCGTTCAAGCTGACCACTCCTGCCCACGCGGCCCACAGACCACTAACCGACACCAAATAGATACGATTCTGAGCTGCTAGTAGGCCCGTCTTTGGAGTGGAAGTTTCGCGCCGTTGTGCGACGATGGCGAGCACGACAAAGAAAATGGTGATGCAGCCCATGGCTATGGCTAGAATGTCGGCGAGGAGGCCTAGGCCGGTGAAGATGAATTTGACATCATCCTGGCTGGTTTTGATACGCGAGACGACGGCAGCAGAGAGCGCTGCGATTGCTAGGGCGAGGGAGGAATAGGATAGGGCGAGCATGCTTTTGGAGGTGGAGCGTTCGGGAGAATGGGGTGGATAGGTGTTGCAATTGCCGGAGGTGACAAGTGTTGCGGATTCGTAGTCATCGGTACGCATCGTTCGAGCTCAGTACGACGCCAGCGTCGTGGTGGAAGACTTCGTGCTGGTAGTCATAGGACGTTGAGGGAGGTCGACGTTTATGAGGGAAAATATGGGTGCTGATGAGCGTCGCTTATCCGACTGGTGAGTCGGAAACAACGGAAGCATGGTGTCCGGAAGGTAACCAGGTCGCTAATGCTGTGCAGACCTGAGAGAAGGAGGATCAACGGGATCACGATGGCAAAATGATTTTCAGGGTGCGCCTTTTCAAGTTGGTCCCGCGAGGATCCGCGACTTCGTCTCCGGGCGCCTATTTTGGACATCATCATCCATCCAATATGTACACCACGGGACGCAACGAGTCCCGGCGGATGAGAAGGCGTTCATTTCCTTCCGAAGAAAATGGTTATTGATATCGGCTCGGTGGATGCACCGAATGACCATAGTCCAATGCATCATTGATACGCCAAATTTTTGAATCGATGAATCCGGAGACACAACAGCGAAGCGAGGCGTATGTGTTTTCTAGCACCCTCCATCAGCATACGCCGCAACCATGGGAGGGCCTCGGGACTCAGGACTCAGGATGTATTATGTTTGAGTTGCCTCCAAGGTTGGCTGGAAGTTATGTTGCACAAAGGAGCACCTCCAAGAGGAGTGGGCCGACAGACAAAATTTGTCTGAATTATTTAGTGAACAGTATCTGAAAATTCCAATCGGGTATCTCAGGCTGGCAGAACCCCAAACTATTTCTGAGCAAAATGAACGAGTATGAGTGATTGCAAATTCTCTGTTAGCCTCTACTGCTCGAAGCCTTCTCCTGAAAAATAGACATATCACAGAATACAAGGAGGTTTGGCATAGAAAATGGTACAATTTCGCATGGCCTAAGGTTGGTATCACTGCGGGCATTTGCGCATATAATCGACAGTGATATTTTGATTTTACGCCGATTCTATTTGAAATTTAGTCCCAGTCGCTTCGCCACGAAAATCTCGGTGGGATTCGAAATAAGATCTGCGATATCTCAACTGTATTTTCTGCAGTGCTTTTATTTCAAATGTCACCTTGGCGCCACTTGTGGATTTTATTTCAAAAGTTGACAGGCAGCTGCCCAGGACATGTCATCAATTTTCGCCAGTAAGGTTTTTCACCGAAAGACAGAGCTCGATCCAGCAGTTTGATTGGTCAATTCTACCCAATTTTTGGTTGTTCCGCCCCGAAACAATGGTCTTGAGGACCTGTGACCACCCTAAAAGCAGCTTTTCCTATCTCTGGGTACTTGGACTCTTCACCATCTCCTCGACGAGAACATGAGGATAGAATTTGAAATAATTGCGGTGTCTAAAAGGCAGATTTTCTTGCATACTGTGAGCGAAGAAATTTGAAATTTAGCGACCGCTTTTGGGGATAATATTATTTCTAATTTGAGATTGCAATTTCGACACCGCTTTTATGTGCAAATGCCCGTAGTGTATGATAAAAAAGGAAAAATAAATATTGAGACCCGTAGGTCTACCACTCCGGGAAAGCGTGTCATCCTTGTGCAGGGGCCATGCTAATCTTCTCTGTATCGTTCCAATTTTTTCGTATGTCACCCCGAAGGGGACAAAAATCTTCAGCGGTGCTGTGTGCCAATTGAGAGAGTTCTGCATTTTGTTTGGTCCACTGGGTGAGGCTGTGCAAGCCGCCCGGCATACGCCGACCCGACTGTTTTCCATTCCGGGCCAGCTACCATCTTGCCTCCTACCATCATCCTCGTTCTCTGACCAACGATACAGGCATTCAAAGCCAGCGGACCAAGCACTATTTCCAAGGGGGCTCTCGTCTATACACCGTGTCCATCGCTATTCTCGGCCTTTCCTCAGAAATTTCGCCAGTATGAGCAGCAAAGGCAAACCAAGATGATCATAGCTCTTGACACAGACGTCGACAAGAATACCGACCGGAAGTCGTTTTTCTCCGCTTCTCGAAACTTCAGCTATTATGGCCAGCGGTGGGTATGCGTACCTACCCGGCTACGGTACGGTCATCCACGAATCGCTTTCCCGCATACACCTCTCACACGAGTCTTGGGCAGGGCAGTCATTGCTAATGACGAAGCTGGTGTCTGTCCTGGCTTCTATCATATCGCTCCTTGTGCTTCCATTCACTGTCGGTGTTCTTAGCTTATTGCTATTCTGCTTTGGAGACAAATTATGGGACTTCTATTCTGGCTTTCCAATTCAAAGCTAGTTGCGGAATCTGATACGATTGAATGGGGTCTCTTTCTCTCCAGCGTTGGACATGATCCGCTCCCATCTTATCGTCATTGTCCACACGATGAAGAGGTCAGTTCGTAGCATAATTTTCTTGACCTAATGAAGTGAGTCCTCATTACGTGCTTCGGTGCCATATCACACAAAACTGACTGAATACATCTACGTGATCAAGGAACTTGTAAACGACCTTTTTCTCGATGCCCTCCATCTGCTTCTTCGACGGCACGGCATGGGTTCTTCGCAAAGCCAAGACCAATATGCACATGTACTCTAGGATTCCAGACGACAATTTTTAGAACAAATAACGACGAAGTTGATCCTTTCGATGAGGATAAACAAGGCTAGCTTGGTGTAAGTAGTTCACCTTCCCGAAGTATGCCAACCCTCTTTTCTAGCATCGCGTGCATCCTTCACAAACCCTTGGACTGACATCATCTAGGTAAAGATAACGCGAACGGAATGTTCTTTTCTGAGCCAAATTTATCCCCTCCTATTGGCCCTCGTCGCTTGCTCACTGCCTCAACGTCTAAAGTTCGAATAATTCGCTTCGAGATAACTACTGAGCGCCATTCACCCGTCAAACTACGCTCTCCAAACTCGCTCGGAATCTAAGAGTACCACCTCAGACTGTTAGACAGCCTATCTCGACATCATCTCCCCGATTAGACATGCCAAAAATAGCTCTCTAAACGGTGCGAGTGCCTTTCGGTTCCTACCTCCTCGAGGCTCACAGGTCCTCATCCCCTAATCGTCTCTTTTGCTGACTATCAAGGAACGGTCTGCCATTCCAGGGATAGCATTGCATGGCGCTCCTCACGTCACCTCGCTCAACCGCTCCTTAGTTCCGACTCGCTCGCACGCGTAGTGTGCTGCTCGCTCTCTAAAGGGCCTTTTTTCAACACGGAGATGAGGTATGCGGACAGGAATGGTTGGATTGGATAGGGTCTGTGTGCCCACCAAGCGTACGGAGCTCATATCTCGTATCTGGGCGGTTGGATGGGGATGGAGGGCGTTTGGAATCGTGTATAAGAAGAATGCGATATCCGTGAGGGATCTCGCAGCTCGGCTTTGCTTCAGTGCATAAACCCCCACCCTCTCGACTCGACAGCTTCGACAATATGCGTTTCTTCGCTGCATCTCTTGCTACGCTCGCCATTCTTGTGGCGCCTATCTTCGCTGCCCCAGATGCTCTGAGGGCTGTCGAGACGTACGCCGGCGAGACCAGCGGCAAGTATATCGTCAAATTCAAGGAGGGCGTCTCTGCGAAGGCGTGGGCCAAGAATCTTGGTCTCTCCAACGCCGTCGATTGGAATATCATCAATGGTCTTGCGAGTAGGTAATTTCATCTTCGACAAGAAGCAATCTGATTATTCATCTGAACCCCGTAGGCAACCTTGATACCAATTCGCTCAACACCCTCCGAGCCTCTGCCGATGTCGAACTCATCTCAGAGGACGGTATTATGCACACCATGGTTGTTCAGTCAGTTTCTTTATCCGTTTCTCCCCCTTCATCGTTTAACGTGCAACACTTCAGAGATGACGCTCCTTGGGGCCTCTCCCGGCTCAGCTCCCTGACTCCGTCTGCGATCCAGAATGCAGGGTAAGTCTTTCTTGCCTCGGGGTTGATCGGACACTTATACGCTGCCTTAGCCTGCTGAACTTTACTTACATCTATGACGACACCGCCGGCGAGGGTGTCGATATTTATATCGTTGGTCAGTCTTCTATTCTTGCTTTCTGTTGAGACTTTTCCTGATGCGAACTTTCTCCAGACACGGGTAAGGAAGCTCTTCTATTGTCATTAGCTCGTTTGAAGACTCATTCGATGAACGCAAGGTGTTTATGTTCAGCATGTATGCGATCTTAATCTCATGCTCTGTCCTTGAGACATATTAATATCGTATTAGGAACAATTCGAAGGTCGTGCTAGATGGGGTATCGCCGTTGAAAACTACCAGTAAGTGTGTGCCCTCAAATCGCTTGAAACCGTTGACCCCCTCGTAGACAATTCGATGGCCATGGACACGGGACTCATGTTTCTGGAACCGCCGCTGGGAAACAATTCGGTGTTGCGAAGGTTAGTTCAGTTTTGTTTGATGTCTAAATTTAGTTCGCCCAATCTTTTTCGCAGAAAGCCAACATCATCGCCGTCAAAGTGCTCAGTGATGGCGGCTCCGGTACCGTCTCTGGAATGTCAGTTTACTTCAATCTTCATTCTATACGAAGATGATCCAACTGTATTTTTTTCAGCGTCACTGGTCTTAACTGGGTGCTCGGCCAAGTGGAGGCTTCCGGCCGTCCCTCTATCGTCTCCATGTCCCTCGGCGGCGCAGGAAACACAGCGCTCGACAATGCCGTCGCCTCCCTCACCACCGCAGGCATCCACGTCACCGTTGCTGCGGGCAATTCCAACACCAATGCTGCCAACACCTCCCCAGCGCGCGCACCTTCTGCCGTCACCGTCGGTGCATCCACCATCGCCGACGAGCGCGCCTCCTTCTCCAACTTCGGCCCAATCGTAGACGTCTTCGCGCCTGGCCTCAACGTTATCAGTTCGTGGACGGGTAGCGTGACGGCTACGAACAGCATCTCGGGCACGTCGATGGCGACGCCGCACATTGCGGGCCTGATTGCATACCTCATTAGCAAGGAGGGGAATGCGTCGCCTGCGGAGATTGAGGCGAAGATCAAGGCATACGCGCTTAACGGTATTCTTACGGGTATTCGTGAGTATAGTCGTGCTTTAAGGAACGCACATTGTCGCTTAACTGATACGATGTGATTGTCTAGCGACCAATACCCTCAACGCTCTGGCACACAACGAAGCTCCCACAACCGACGAGTAAAGCAACTTTCCCTCGAATAAGGAATTATACCGATGGTCTTTCTCTCCTTACTCTTGTCTCTTGACGTAACACCCAAGTGCACTCGACTGTCGTCGAATAATGCCGACCTCCATCATACTCCATTCTCTCTCTTCGTTTCAGTTCTACGGTTATTCAACAAGGTTCGCCACCTAACAAACGAGAATCAGTCCTCCATGTATTATAAAACGAATAAATCGCGTCCAACGTTTCCTTTAGCCTACCAGCGCGGCCTTCCTTACTAGCATCCGTGGGAATGCTAGATCTCATGGTGAAGGCAATTCCCCTCACGAATTGCCAGTATTTGCACCGGACCAGGCCTCTTAAGAAATACTTCGATCTACGAAGTTCTTGATGTTGTCTTGATGCTGATTAGATAGTGCCTAGTTTATTTGTAATAGCTTACTTACGCCACCATACAAGACTCATATGTTTATGGCCTATTACGTAATGAAGCATGAGTGCAGGGTTAGGGTGCGGTCTATGCATCAGCGGTGGCAGGCTGGGTGGAGTTTCACGCTCTCACCGTGACTGTCATCCACCGCAAGTCGCTAGAGCTCGTCAGAGCGGCTTGCCTTTCTTTTCTTTATAAACCTGTCTACTACCCACTATACCAAAACTTCCATCTACACTCATCCTCGTTTCAACAACACAACTGTCAACCAGCATGCCACGAATCACCCAAGACCCAAACCTGGCAGAGTCACCAGACTTCGACAGCATCGAGTTCCAGGCCGTCTACGCACCCTTGGCCACAGAGGCAAACCCTGTCGAGAACATCATAGGCACGCTCAAGGCCGCCTGGACACACAACAACAATGCAAAAAAGGCAGCCTGGGAGGCCCAAGTCGAGCAAGACAAGGCAGCAGAAGAAGCGACCGAACAAGAGCGCCAGGCAGCAGTAGAGGCGGAGGAGGCTATGAAGGAGAAGGAACTTCAAGAGACAGAAGAGGCGAACCAACGCGAAAAGGAGAAGAGGAAGCCCAAGGTCCAGAACTTCACAGTCAACAAAGTCGTCGACAGTGTCTCTGACACCTGCCCATCTCCATATGCCATCCACAAGCTCCGCCAAGGCGAGTACATCGAGCTCTACTACTTCACACCAGAAGCGTGCTCTGAAGCAGAAAGAGCGGAACAAACTGCAGCTAAGGACAACATCACCTTCACGTCAGTTGGGGACCAGCTCTTCATGAAGCCGGCAGCTGCATACAAGGCAGCAAAGAAGGTCATCCGGGATGAAGACCTAACCTTTAAACAGTTAACGCTCGCCAAGAACGACATGCTTCGCCACATGGGCCAGGAGGAATGGCCGGAGCAGCATGTCGTAGCCCTCAGCGTATTCTTCTTCAAGCTGGAGAGCCATCGCCTGCGAAAGCAAGACGGAGGTGACACCGTTGTGCTGCGCTACCAGTCGCAGGTCTGTCGCGAGTGGATGGAGGCCCTCAAAGGTACCAGCGACGAGGACGTCTTTGACATCAGCGTCATCAACGACCTACGGCTTAACCAGATGTACACCGAGCACCTCAACGCTCGACATAGCCAAGGCGTTTTATGCATCAGGAAAACGACTTTGTCTCCAAGGGAGCTCTGGAGCTCCCTCGGGTTCCTTGGAGGATCCAGAGATGCAGAGATGCCAGGGAGCCTTAAAAGCTACTCCGCATGCTTGCGATGTCTCTAGAGCTCTTCAAGCTGCTCCAGACTTAATATACTGCTACTCTGAGTTGCTCCAGATGCTTCTAGACTTTATACTGATGATTCTGAAGATGACCCAAAGATCCTTGGATCAATCTTGAAAGCGCTTTACACCGCTAGGATGTTGCTTATGTCTCTCCAAGAGTGGATTCAAAATGCCTCAGAATGTCTGAAAGACGTTGCAACACGTAGTGTATTCTGAAAGATGTAGTGTATTTGTATTCCTTCGCAAAAGATACTGTAGACGATAATGAAAGCAATGGATACTTCTAGGCAGTGGGGGCAGCAAGGGCAGTAGGGGCAGCAGGGGCAGTAGGGGCAGTAGGGGCAGTAGGGGCAGCAGGAGCAGAGCCAGGCCCTCCTGCCAGGTGATTCAAGGCCTGGAAGTTGACCTTCTCTAAATCCTTCTCTGTCGTCTCTTGAGTTCTATCCTCAGGTTTTTGTCTGACACAACCAGTCAGTCAGCAGAACAGAGCTTTAAGTTGAACGTACACGTACACGATTAAAGAGAAGATTTGGCGACTCCACCAACGTGGCCAGTAGGGTGCCTCCTGTTCGATTTTATCCCAATTCTCAAGACGGCGAGCAAAGCTAGAAGACAGGTCAGATGTTGCCAGTAGTAGGAGAAATAAATAAATCAATACCTTGCCTGAGAGAGTATCTCGTAGAAGGGACTCTTTGCCTTTACGTCGCCTTTACTCCAATCCTTCAGGACGTGCTCCATCTACAGCAATCATAAGTAAAATGTTTGTGTCATTGGAAAAGAACTTACCGCCGCTAGCACAATAAACATTACAGCTGGAGGAATACTTTTTTCTTCCATCATAAGCAGTTGCCTCTTCATTTGCATTTGAACAGCCCCCGTGAAACCAGTGCATTTCAATCATCTCCATCATGAATTCTGAGCCAAATGGCTTCATGTTGTCATATTCTCTTTCCCAAAAGATGGTCAAACAGCAGAAACTATGTATTTAATGAAAAGCTCACTGCGACGTTGACTCCGCCATACATGAATGCCTTTGATTTTAGCAACCATGCGACATCTTCCTCTATCTTTTCATTGCCACCTCCTAGACAATAGAAATCAGCCATCTTCGTGCGAACAGTAGAAACTATGGGGCTAGTGATCCCAGATCTTGCATATAAGCCCTGCATAACAATGTCATCAATAAATGTTTGCATGACTATGAAGAGCTTACAAAGGAAATAATGTTTTTCTTCATCTGGGGATCCCGGACGATGAAGCCGTATGTGTCTTGAAGGTTTCCATCAAGGTTAACAGCCTCCTTGACAGCCTTCCAAGCATAGTCCACCCGCTCAGACAGTGCAGTAGGAGGAAAGGCTTTGGTGAAAGCCGCTAAATAACGGATTCGGCTTTTAAGTGCAATGGCAAGCGGCAGAATGAGGTCAGGAAAATCAGACTCGGTAATCTTTCCAGTGCGTCTTCCAGCCTTGCCAGTGATAGCCATAGTTATTGAGGGCGTGGAATCCCTCGAATAGGTCACAACAGAAGAAGTTGAGGTAGTGCTCTTGGGAATAGATTGAAACTAAAGGAGAATTAGCGTTAGCGCACAAGTAAAGTTTGTCATCAAAAGCGAACCCCATTGTCTTTGAAGGTGTTCTCATAGGCATCACGATCGCCATTGTTGAACTCGTCGAACTTGTCGTTAAACTTGTCGTCTCCGACCATTTCAACATCGTCATCATCTTCATTCCTAGTGGAACGTTCTTCCGGCTCGTCTTCCTCGTCTTCCTCCTCAGGTTCTTGAGGAGCAGTCTCTGGTTCCTCTACAGGAGGGTTAAGAGAGGCGGTGATAGGCTCCAAATCATCAGCAATATCCAGTTCATTGTCATCTAGCACCATACGGCGCCGTTTCCTTGTTGCGCCAGCAACCTGAGCTCCATTGGGCAGAGTTTCAGCATCCATAAGAAGCCTGTTCTTCTTTGAAATAGCTACGTAGAGTGAAGGGGTTGGCAAGTTGTGTGGAAATCAATCAGCAAATAACATACCTGCATCCTCAGCGTCTTTGGCTGATTTTTTCTGGGTGTCAAGTTGCTTTTTAACTCTACAAAAGAGAGCCATGTCTTCTGTGGAAATATCACTGCCGACCTTCACTTTCTGGCCCGTACCCCTTCCTGCCACAGCAGCCATGGGCCCAACACTTCCAGCTCTGGATGCCCCTCCTCCGCGGCCCCTGCCTGCCCCTGAAGCACCTCCGCGCCCAATGCTGCTGACGGTGCCAGCCCCAGAGCTGGCGCTGGCAGGTTTGTTACCGCTTCTAGTAGTAATATTGCCATTCATGGCATTCGCTGTCTGGGAACGGAGCGCTCGTTGGCTTGTCATGTTGTAAAAAGAACTGAGGAAGCCTTGTTGTAGGAAGTTAAAGTGTCGTAAGAAGCAAGCAAAGGAAAGAAAAATGATGGGTCTTTTGACCAAAATGTTGCGGAAATTTCTCACCCTTGTCAGGGGACAGGCCAAGCTGGAAGTCAATCCTATATTACGATGCGATAGAAAAAACCTAGGTACACTATTTAAGATCCTTATGCCCCCTCCAATCATTTCTATCTAAGAGCCAACGTGCAGCTGATCTATCTGTATGGTACACTAGTGAAACTCTCTTTCCTTTATAGTGATTGTTGTAGTGGCTAATACTTTGTGAAGGAAAAAGGAAAAAGTCACCATTTCGACACCCAATACGTAGCCCAATTTCATCACAGACAATGGCTCCGTCAATGCAGTCGGAGATGACAAGAACGCCGCAAATATCCCAGTCC